TGCCCCACAAGGAGGCTGTGATTTGGGACCCCGAAAGGGAGCCTGCAGTCACTCCCTCACCCCCCTCCCCCACCCCGCCCCCGTGCCTCCCGCACATGCGCAGAGGAGCCCCCTTCCGCCCGCATGCTGCCCTCCGCCCTCCAGCCTGTCCCCCACCTGTGCCCGGTTTCTCTGCACGGGCGTGGGCGCTCCTGCAAGTGGGCTCTTCTGCAGCCTTTTGGGCCTCAGCCCTGATAGCCTCCTTGGCACAGCCCTCCTGCCCCCTGCTCACAGCCCTCCCGCCATCTGTGAGGGCCGTGCCCAGGGCCCGTGGTGGACGCCAGACACTCACAGCTGACACGGAGGGCAGAGCCGCCTGTACCGGCCCCTCCTGAGAAATCCAGAGTCCGGATGGCACCCCCTCAGAGGGTCCTGGGCAGGAACGGGCCGAGCAGGAGCAGTGGTTAGAAGCCACAGGGCAGGGCCGGGAGTGCAGCTCAGCGGCATAGGCGCCCGCCCGGCAAGTGCAAAGTCCTGAGTTCAATTCCCGGTACTAAAAAAAAAAAAAAAGAAAGAAAGAAATCACAGGGCAGCGCGGTTAGCCGGAGACACGAGACTGAGTAGCTGAGCTCCGGGCACCGCCCGAGGACTGGTGTGGGACTGGGCGTGTGGCTCCTCCCTGCTGCGGTCCTGAGCAGCCGGCCTGGAGGGAGGGGCCGACAGGGGAGGGGTCCTCTGCGCTGAGCAGCAGCTGGGCACACACGTGCACACACTCACTCAGACCCCGCATTAGTCCTCATGTAGTCACACTGACGCACACACACGCACGCAAATCCGTGCTCGCACGTACTCTGCTTCACACTCATACAGCCATTCACGCTTGTACACGTGCACACACACTCATTAGTGCTCACACACTCCCCCCGCCACACTCACACAGTTCTCTCACACTCATTCACATGTGCACCTGCACACTCAGGACACACACACGCGCACACACACTCAGTCTGCTCTGGGTGCCCCGACCTGACCTGGCCTGCAGCGTCTCACCGTGCTGCCCCAGGGATGGGAGATGTGGGCCCCGCGTGGTGGCAGGGACTGTGCCCTGATCACTCCGAAGCTTAGCGCCTGCAGTGGTGCCTGGATGAGGAACGTGCTCAGGAAGTGCTTGAGGCACCAACGGGAATAAGCGAATGCAGGAATGGGGAAATGAATAGGGGAATGGGGGAGGGATAATGGAGGAAGCGAATGAATGGAGGAATGGGGTGGGGAAATGAATGAAGGGTTGGGGAGGTGAATGGGGTGATGCGTGGGGAATGAATGAATGGAGGACTGGGGATGGAATGAATGGGAGAATGAATGACAGGGGAATGAAAGGAGTGATGGGAATGGGGACTGAATGAATGATTGGGGGAATTAATGGGGTGACAGGAATGGGGGAATGAATGAATGAATGGGGAATGGAGGACCACAGGAATGGGGGAATAAAGGGAGAATGAATGAATGGAGGAATGGGGGAGTGCGGAAATGAATGAATAAGGGAAAGGGGGAATAAATGATAGGGGGAGAGAATGGGGTGACAGGAATGGGGGAGTGAGTAAATGGAGGGATGGGGCAATGAATGAGGAATGAATGAATGAATGAATGGGGAGTGAATGGGGTGATGGGAATGAGGGAATGAATGAATGGGAGAATGAATAAATGAATGGGGGTGGGGAATGGAGGATCAGGGGAATGGAGGGATGAATGACTGGGGAATGAATGGGGTGACAGGACTGGGGGAATGACTGGGGAATGAATGAATGACTGGGACTGGGGAATGGAGGACCAGGGGAATGGGGGAATGCCTGGGGAGTGAATGGGGTGATGGGAATGAGGGAATGAATGAATGGGAGAATGACTGGGAGAATGAATGAATGAATGGGGGTGGGGAATGGAGGACCAGGGCAACGAATGACTGACTGGGGAGCGAGTGGGGTGACGGGACCGGGGAATGGATGAGGAGCGGATGGGGAAGGAGCAGTGGGGAACGAGTGCGCAGGACCTGCCGGCTCCATGCAGCCCAGCAGAGGCTTTGAGTGACTGATCAGACAAGGACAGCCGTGTGAGTGGCTGACAGCGTGACCTACAGAACGAAGATGCCTCCCGGTAACCCAGGCCTGCAGACGGGCAAGTTGGGGGTGCTGGGTGAGGGGCTCACCTGCCCCTCACCGGCACTGATTCAGGCTGGAGCCCTTGACCCCCGGAGCCCCAGGACAAAGATGCCATCAGCTAAGGAAGCTGGGTGCAACTAAGCCAGGATGGCAGCTGGATGTCTCTTCAGGGTGACGTGCCTGTCCTGGATGCTACACTGTGGGTGTGACAGCTCCCCCGGAGCATGGACCCTCCTGTGTCCTTTGTGTCAGTTGTGTGTGCTTGGAGCTTGGGAGTGGTGATGGCTGGGTATGTTCTTGAGAAACAGAAATTTAGCAGCAGGAAGTGAGTTCCTAACAGCATCAGTAGCAGAGAAACCCCTTCGGCCAGTGTGCCCCCTTGTCCAGGCGAGTGTAGGCAGCCGGCAGACCAGAGGCTATGTGTCTCTCGGTGTGGGGCTCCAAGCTCTGCCTCCTGCGAGGCCCCGGGACTGGTTTGTGCAGCTTATTTTCAGGTAAATGGGACGGCTGTGGCGTGAGAGTGGGGACAGAGGCTGTGGGGTGCTTGGAGCATCTCAGCTCTGCACCATCTCCAGCCAGGGCAACCTGGTGGTGGCCGGGTCTGTTTGGTGGCTGGAGCCCGGAGATGCTCTGGTGTGGGCTTCTCACTGCTGCCAGGCGGGTCCTGCTTGCGGGGCAGTGGCACCTCACTAGGGCGTCCTTCATCTTGGGTGCCCGAACAGGGAAGCACATGACTGTCAGTGCCTGGCTTGCCCCCATGCTGCTGTGGGCCAGCCGGGCAGGGTCCCAGCAGAGCCCAGAGTGTGGCACCCCTGCGTGGTCCTGGCTCTCGTGGCACGGGGTTGTGTGGCGTTAGGGATGCCACCTCTGCGTCAGCTTCCCTCCGGTGAAACAGGAGCTTCTGCACGTCCTTCCTGGGGGACCTCGAAGAGTGTCTGTGACAGCAGGGAGCACCCCCTTGTGTGAGCTCTGGGAGCAGCGCCAGCCTTCTTCCCACCCCTGGAGCTGGGGCTGCGTTGTCCCGTGGGAAGCTGGAGGGGGCCCCACAGTGCTCCTCACTGCTCCGGCCTCCACCCCTCCTCTGCCCACTCTGCCAGCCCCAGGGAGAATCCTTCCTGCCCCTTCCAGCTGCTGCTGGCTCCCGCAATCCTTGTCTTGTGGCCCCCTGGGTCCTTGGCTCCATTCTGTCCTCTGTGTGTCTGTGACGTCACTCTCTGCCTCTTGTACACAGACTCCTGAATCCAGGAAGTTCTCCCTCGAGACCCTAAACTCAGGGGCAGCCAGGCGTGGTGGCACACACCTGTAATCCCAGCACTCGGTAGGCTGAGGCAGGAGGATCATTGCAAGTTCAAGACTAGCCTGGGCTACAAAGTGAGCTCAAGGCCAGCCTGAACTGCATACTAAGACCCTGTCTCAAATAAATAAATAAATAAATAAACAAACAAACAAACTCAGGGGCACCCACAGGGACCCTTTTGCCAGGCAAGGTCACTGGGGCGTAAGATGTGGGCACCACAGTTTAACCCAGTGGACCATCCCATGAGGGACCCAAAGCACAGGAGGGCAATGGGAAGAAGGTGGCAGGGACCGTGTTGGCTGCTGAAGTCATACGCAAGCAGGGTGAGAGGTGGCACAGGGCCTGCTGCGTGGGCCTTGCAGTGGACGCTTCAGAGAACAGGGCTTTGTTGGGGTCATAGGTTCGGTAAGCAGGCAATCGCCATGATAGAGAACAACGGTGGGGCTGGGGAGATAGCCCAGCGGCACAAGTGCCTGCCTGGCAAGTGCAAGGTCCTGAGTTCCATTTCTAGTACCAAAAAAAAGAGAACAACGATGCCTATGAAAAACTTACTAGATGATTGATTTCTTTCATTTTCCCATGTGAGCTACCTACCCAGCCCTTTTTCCTTTGTACATTTTTTATTTATTTTGAGACAGGGTCTCAGTCACTAAATTGCCCAGACTGGACTTGTATTTGTAATCCTCCTGCCTCAGCCTCCCAGAGTGCTGGGATTGCAGGCCTGTACCACCACATCTAGATTTTCTCTTCTCTTTTTCAAAGTGAAAATTGTTTTATCAATCATAAAATCAGACCCAGGGCTGAGGTTATAGCTCAATAGTCCTATAGAGGTTGTAGCTCAGTACTACTGAGGTTATAGCTCAGCCTAGCACGTGTGAAGCCCCAGGTTTGATCCCCAGCACCGCAAAAAATTGAAAAAGTAAAATCCGACACTGACAAGAACAGTACACTTATTTTAAATTTTCAGACAACCCTGGTTGGGTGTGGTGGCACACGCCTGTAATACCAGAACTCAGAAGCTGAGGCAGGAAAATTCCCAAGAGTTTGAGGCCAGCCTGGGCTACACACAGAGGCCCTATCTCAAAAAACAAGCAAACGAACAAACAAAAAAGAATTGCATGCAATTCAAAAGTAAAAAGCCTAAAGGTCACCCCCAAGTTCCACTCCTGCCAGCCATTTGGGGTCGAGGCTGGCCTCCCTGTGGACGTTTTTCTGGGCGCACAGGAGTGGGGTCCTCTACCTGCCCGCTCACCTGCCCGTCTCTCCCCAGGTGGACCTGGCCTCTCGTGTTTCTCCCTGTTCTGTGTGTGGGGCTTCGCTTGCCCCCAGTTACCCACCCGGCAAACTGAGCGCGTGTGTCTGAAGGTGCGGCGCTGTCTGCTTTGCACGGGGGTGGTTGGCCTGGAGGGCCAGCAGCACCGTTGCTGTCCCCCACCAGCCTGGGGAGCAGCCAGTGCTGCAGCCCCACACCGCAGGGCTCGGCAGCCCCCTCTGCGTCCGAGGGTGCCCTCAGGCCTCCGGGGGTGGCAACCGCAGGTCCCCTCTCCCATCGCCCACCTCCTCTGACGCAGGCCATGTTCGAGCTGGTCACCTCCGAGGCCTCCTACTACAAGAGCCTGAACCTGCTGGTGTCCCACTTCATGGAGAACGAGCGGCTGAAGAAGATCCTGCACCCCTCGGAGGCCCACATCCTCTTCTCCAACGTGCTGGACGTCATGGCCGTCAGTGAGCGGTGAGGCCTGAGGCCGGTGGGGCCGCTGCGGGGCCGCTGCGTGGCTGCACTGGCATGTTTGGGGTGTTGCACTGTAAAATATACTTGCTAAAGACGTACATCAGAGACCTACCACACTCCCAGCAGTCAGCCGGTGGGTGCCCTGGGTACCTTGCAATCTGCTTGGGTGTGCCAGCCAGGGACCCTCCACCGGTGTCTCTGTGCTCCTCATGCTGTCCCCTCCTGGAAGCAGTGACTCCACATGCACCCCGTGGTCCCCTCTGTGCCGGAAGCCCCGGTCTCACTAGCTGCGCACTGGTCTGTCCCACCCAGGGACATGGTCCCGACCCTCACCCAGCCACTGTCTCTGGCAGGTTCCTCCTGGAGCTGGAGCACCGGATGGAGGAGAACATCGTCATCTCTGACGTGTGTGACATTGTGTATCACTACGCGGCAGACCACTTCTCGGTCTACATCACCTACGTCAGCAACCAGACCTACCAGGAGAGGACGTACAAGCAGTTGCTGTGAGTGCCCCGTGTGGGGGCGGTGCCGCCGCTGCCCTTCGTCTCTGCGTGCCCGCTGGGGGTCCCGCTGGGCCACGGAATGGCCAGGGTAGGGACAGTGCAGATCCAGCAGGTTGCAGGGCATTTCGGTGCCAAACCCAATCCAAAAATGGGCATCTGAAGTGAACACACACTTCTCAGATGAAGAAATACAAATGGCGCATGGGCTTCTTGATGGGGCAGCTCATCTCAAGGAACGGAGTGCAAGAGAGCAAGAACTGTAAGAAAGCACGCTTCTTGTGGAAGCTGTAGTTGTTAATTTTTTCTCAATTTTTATTATGTTTTTCATCACATCACCTCCATCATATTCTCTTCAGTGGAAGAGAGTAAATAAGCCTATGCCATGTGCAGAGGGTGGGGATTTTACAAGGTCATGAATGCAAGGGGCAGGGGGATCACTGGGATCATCTTAGTGGCTGCTGACCGCAGAGACCAATGAGAAATTATACCTGTCGCCCTTCCGTTGCTGAGACAAAATCCTGGAGATGCGCAGCTTAAAGGAGGGCTGTGTGTTGGCTCACAGGTTCCAAGGTCCGCTCCCTTTGTGCCAGTGCTAAGGTGGAGACGTTATGGTGGAAGGACAAGCGAGAAGAAAGCTTTTCACTGCATAACACCAGGAAACGGAGCAAAAGAGTCAGAGAGGAAGTGGGTGGGGGCCAGACAGTCCCCACATTCACGCCCCTGTGGTCCCCTCCCTGTGATGAGGCTCCACCTCCTGTTTCCGTCATCTCCCGGCGGTGCCGTGAAATTCCGATCTCATCAGTGCAGTAATCCATTGATAAAGTTAGAGCTGTCGATCCAGCTGGCCCCCGAGAGAGTCTGTTGCAGACCCGTGGTGTCGGCTTGGGTACCGGGAGCTCAGGGATGAGTGAGGCCAGGGCGCCCAGGGCCAGGCAGTTGGGGCAGGGGGTTTGAACTTGCAACGGGCAAGGTCTGGGTGGGAAGGAGGCTCTCTGAAGTTACCCAGCAATGCTCTTGAGTTTATCGCCACTCTGCTTTCAAACCCAGGCCTTGAAGTCTCTGTTGACAGGATATTTTTCAGTCAACTTGCCTCTTTGAATTCTTTGCATGAATGCTCCCACCCTAAGTGGCTGGGGTCGGCGGGGAGCTCTCTAGCTCTGCCTGGAGCGGCAGAGGCATTTCCAGCGGGAACTGTCCCAGTCAGACGGAAGGGTCTCCAGTTCAGGAGCCTCTGTTGGGAAGGAAGAACAGGATCATATCCAAGCCACACAGGCAGGTCGCTGGCCTCTGTCCATCCCAGAAACAGACGCAGGGTCAGGCTCTACAGGACAGTTATTGGTGGGAAGTGGCTCCTGTCCCCGCCTGGTGCCAGGTCTTAGGTGGCCGTCCTGGGGACACTCTTTTCTGCTAAGAGCAGAAAACCTGTCCTTAAAGATAAGGCGGCCACAGTTTCATGGGGCTGGCCCTGCAGGCAGATTGCAGAGCAACTGGGGTGACCTGAGGGTTCCTCAGCATCTGAACGCGGAGCTTCCTGGGCTTTTCTGTCCAACCACGTGGCTCAGTGTGGATGTTTGAGAGTCTGAGTACCCAGACACAGGTGTTTTACGTATGTATTTGGGAATTGGAATTTGAGAGAATTATGTGCTGCTTTTGAGATCAAACACTGGGAAGAGGGCCGGAGATAGAGCTCAGCGGCATAAGTGCCTGCCTGGCAAGCTCAAGGTCCTGAGTTCGATTCCCGGTACCAAAAAAACCAATCAACCAAACAAAAGAAAAAACAAACATTGGGAAGACGAGTCCCACAAAGTAGGTGCTTGTACAGGTGTGATGAAGTAAGGCAAACATTTAAATTTTTAAAAATATATTACAATAAAAGGCACACTGCCAACAATCTCCCTCAGAATACCCCCCCATATTTTGAACATACTTACCCATTGTTCTTGCCGCTGTTTTTTATTAGCGCGTGTTTGCAGGACGCAATGATTCATTTATCACGGAGAGCGGGTGCGCGACACAGCACACCGCTGCCCCGCCTCGCTGCCCCTTCCAACTTTGGTACCCTTCCCGTCTGCAAAAGCTCTATTTTCATCATCTTTTTTTCCCTTCTTCTTTTTTATCCCCTTTCCCTCCATCTTGCCACCCTCTGCAGCAGCTCTGGAAGTCCTCTTCATGAGTGTCTTTAGTGGCGCTGTTGCGGCTGCCTGGATGTCCTGAACTGACTCCAAACGTTCGCCTTTCGCGGTCATTTTGACTTCGGAGAGGAGCGAGGAGTCGCGTGGTGCCTGATCCAGTGAATGAGCGGGATGAGGACACGGAGTCGTGTTTTTATGGTCCTGCCCTTCCACTGGCTGGGACTCAGCAGCAGCACCCAGTGTAGTTTTGAACACATCTCGTAAAGACACTCAGGAAAGAGGACTTCCATAACTGCTTCAGAAAGTGGCAAGAATGGTGGGATGTGTCCAACGCAACAGGGAGGATTTTGAGGGGATTCGTGGCAGTGTATCTTCTACTGTAATCATTTTAAAAAATTAAACATTCACCATACACTTGGATCCCTACTAAGGGCAGTGCTCAAGAATCCCAGGTGAACCCTTCACCATGCCTGTGAGCACAGAGCACCTGGCCAAGCTGCTGCAGGCAGGCCACGGCTGTCCCTGTCACGTGGGCCTGGCCCTGTGGCTCAGCTCCTGAGCCCTGTCGGCACCAGCTCCTTGCCCCTGGCAGGTGTGGTGCGCCGTGGGTTTACCTTGCCGTGCTGCCCTGTGGCACGAAGTCACCTAAGTGTGCGTCTCGTACAGGCTTGGCCACACAAGGAATTCTTGCCCTCCCACAGGCGCATGTTCTGCTAAGGCTCCCGGTGGGCATGCGAAGCCCCTATTGTTCTTTGATGGGTGCCTGAGCAGCTTTCTTTTCCATGAAAAAAAAGCGAGAGACGGAGGGAAGGAAGGTGCCACGTTTCCTGTGCCCGTGGGCTGCCTCCTTGGGGGGATCTTGACGGATGGAAGCGCTTGTGGTCGGAGCCTGGCCTGAGACCCACTGCTGCACGTCTGTGTCCCCAGCCAGGAGAAGGCAGCTTTCCGGGAGCTGATTGCGCAGCTGGAGCTCGACCCCAAGTGCAAGGGCCTGCCCTTCTCCTCCTTCCTCATCCTCCCCTTCCAGAGGATCACCCGCCTCAAGCTGCTGGTCCAGGTACAGCCTAACCCTCTGCACGCACCGCCTCTTCCCTTCTGTCATCTGTGGTCGCTGTCCGGGCTGGTGGCTTTCCAGGAAATCCACTTGTTCAGCAAATGCCAGTTAAGCACCTACTGGGTCCCAAGCACTTCCTCAGCAGGGAGCCGCATTCCAGCAGGACAGACCGATACCTGGGGCAATAAATGGGGCACCCCAGTAAGGGGCGACTCTGGCCACTGTCAGTGCAATGGTTGGGAAAGACAGGACAGTTCAGGGGAGACTTGCCTTGGGAGGAGCTGGCCAGGTGAGCACATGGAGGAAGAGCAGTCTGGGGAAAGGGAACTGGGTATGCAAAGACCCTGGGGCAGCCAGGTGCACAGACAGGCTCCCAGCAGGGAGCTCGGGGAACACTGCTGGGTGTGTGTGAGGCGGTGCAGGCAGAGGGGCTTGAGCCATGGGGAATCGGAGCTCAGGTCAAAGGGAGAGGTCAGGGTTCAAGTTCCGGCATCTGTGGTGCTCAGGAGAAGGGCCACTGGGGAAGGAGCGGGGCTGGGCCACACCTGGAGGAGACGGCCTGGGCTGGGTGCGAGGTGCAGCGTCCCGGGGTAGACAGACGGGCGTCCTGAGGGGCTCCTGCCTTGCCCTGGGGCCACCAGGGAGGACCATCTGGTCACGTCCTGAGTTGCAGGAAGCCACTGGCACCAGGCGGAAAGGGACTCTTGCCGGGCTCTGACAGGGTGACCTGGGAGTCGCAGCCAGGGAGGTCGCAGGTCAGGCAGCTGGACACACCAAGAGGAGACTGATGGGGCAAGTGTGGACCTAGCCAGAGGACCCATGTGTCCTCCTCAGAGGCCACCAGAGGGGCCTCGTCGGGCAGGATTTTAATGCCAGCAAGGAGAGTCGGAGCCTGCACCGTGTGGGTCAGTGGGCACAGATTTGGGAGCAGAGGACCGACAGCCGCAGGGTTAGTGATGGCCATGCATGGCAAGGAGGGGCGGGGAGGCCTCGGTGTGGCCCATGGGCCCTGGCTTGGCTGGGCAGAGGAAGCCAGGTAACCTTGGAAAAGAGCAGCTGGGTGGCGTCAAGGCCCTGCCACATGCCACACGTGGCAGCTGGGAGGACGGGACAGGGCTCGGCTGCGCTCAGGCCTTCTGCTGAGACAAAGCAGGTCAGAGTCCACTGGCTCGGTGAGGACAGCGGGGCGGAAACCGCACGCGGGGCCAAAGTCCGGACTTACTCCGCTAATTGAAGAAAACCGAACAATTAGAGAAAAGGCCTGTTTCCTGTTAGGGACAAAGTTAACGAAGCCTTAGGACAGTGGTGGCCTGGCTTCTAGTGAGAGCCTCAGAAGAAAGGCAGGGACCCTCCCCCAAGCATGAAGTCCCCGTGGGACAGAACAGAGATGGCGTCAGCCTATTAATCCCCTCGGGGCTGTGGGCTCACATACTGTGTGTGTGTGTGGGGGGGGGTAGCCCGAGGGTGGCAGGGAGGGCAGGGGCCATGCCCAGAAGTAACCTGCCTGTCCTGGCTCAGAACATCCTGAAGAGGGTGGAGGAGCGGTCGGAGCGTGAGTGCACCGCCCTGGACGCCCACAGGGAGCTGGAGATGGTGAGTGGCTGCCCCCCGGGTGTCCTTGTGCGATGGCACCGTGCAGTTTAAGACTTGCTTCTGCAGTCAGGAAAAGGCGTGGGCGTAGTGAGCTCAAGGCCAGCCTGAACTGCATAGTGAGACCCTGTCTCAGACAAAAAAAGTCGTGGGCGGGAAGCCTGCTGATGTGTTTCAAGCAGAGCCTCCGCCGCCCAGACGCCGTGATCCTTTGCTCTGTGCGGATGATGGCTTGGGCGGCCTCCGCGCCCCCAGCCAGAGCCTCCCTGTGCGCTGTCCCCCATCAGTCGGTATCCATCCAGCCCCACTGGGCAGCAGCTGCCGTGCTGGGCCATAGAAGGCCTTCAAGTGGGTGCTGTGGGCTGTGAGGGCCCCACGTGGCCCCGAGGGGTCTCCCTGTGGCCACCCCAGGGCCAGGCCCTGTTCTGTACTTGGAGTTCTTTGCTCATTTCCTCTGGCTGGGGGGAACCCAGGACCTTCACACTGAGGTACATCCTCAACCATTTTTAAAATTTTTTTATTGCTAAGTTGCCTGAGCTAGGCTTGCGCTTGACATCCTCCTGCCTCAGCCTCCCACTTGTTGGGATTATAGGCGTACGCCACCACACCCACCTTCCTTTTTCTTTTAATGAAAGGTACGCTCTGTTTCTCATAGCTTACTTTTTCAAAATAAATATTTTTTCTACTTTATAAAAGTAACTGATGCTTGAAACAAGAAAATTCAAAAAATGCTCGTAAGCAAAAAGGCGGTAATAGAGATGCCAGGCTGTCCCACACCTACAGCTGAGAGGCTGCCTCCTGCCTTCCAGATGGATGTCTGCACACGCCGCACACGCTGGCGTTCTTTGCAAAAAGAGACTGTGGTTCCCAAGCCCCAGGCTTTGCTCTCCTGCTCAGCACACACACAGTTAACTGAGCTTTTCCGCGCTCATAGCACTCAGCTGCACAGATGCACCATAGCTACCTGTACCTCAGTCCCCTCTTACGAGGGGCACATGTAGTTCAGTGACGGTCTCATTCTACACGGCTCTGCATAGAACACACCCTAGTGCCTGCCTCTGACATCGCGCTCGATGTCCAGGACCACCGCGTGTGGCTCTGTGTGGTGCGGGGCTCTGTCCTGCGTGACCAGTGCCATGCCTGGTCACAGGGGTGTCCGGGGACCCTCAGGTGACCTGGCCCATTGTGCCCTCCTCCTCCTCGTTGCAGGTGGTAAAAGCGTGCAATGAGGGTGTCAGGAAGATGAGCCGCACGGAGCAAATGATCAGCATTCAGAAGAAGATGGAGTTTAAGATCAAGGTGAGGGCCGGGGATATAGCTCAGCAGCATAAGCACTTGCCTGGCAAGCCTGAGGTCATGAGTTCAATTCCTAGTACCAAAGGAAAAAAAAAAAAAAAAGATCAAGGTGAGCCTGACCCAAGCCATTGTCCCCGCCCCCAGGCAGCGACACCCCACCCGCTCCTGCAAGGATCCCCCTACCTGGCCTGCTGCCTGACAGTCAGCGGGTGCCCTGGCTGGATCCCACTCTGGGCTACTGGCTGTGACCTTGAGCAGAGTATAGTGATGGACCATGCAGGGATCACATGTAGTGTGGAATACATGCACACACACACACACACACCCGACGCACACAGGCACACATCTGTGTACCACGCCCAGGCACGAGTCCCTGCGCAGACTCAGAGCTGCTGTCTCCCTGTGTCGGACCCAGGCGGGCGGCAGGGTAGGCGAGAGCCTCACAGCTGCCGGGAGGCACCCCTGGGCCGGGAGCAGAGGAGCGCCATGGCGACGCCGGCCTCCTTCCCCCCAGTCGGTCCCCATCATCTCGCACTCCCGCTGGCTGCTGAAGCAGGGCGAGCTGCAGCAGATGTCGGGCCCCAAGACCTCCCGCACGCTGCGCACCAAGAAACTCTTCCGGGAAATTTACCTCTTCCTCTTCAACGACCTGCTGGTGATCTGCCGGCAGATCCCGGGGTGAGCGGCGAGGGGGGCTGTCCTGCGGGGCAGGGCCGTGTGGCCAGGGCTCCCCTGGACCGACACCCTGTCCCACCACCGCGGTTCCCAGGGACAAGTACCAGGTGTTCGACTCGGCCCCGCGGGGCCTGCTGCGAGTGGAGGAGCTGGAGGACCAGGGCCAGACGCTGGCCAACGTGTTCATCCTACGGCTGCTGGAGAACGCAGACGACCGGGAGGCCACCTACATGCTGAAGGCGTCCTCTCAGTGAGTGCCGGCCAGGGCCCGCCAGGAGGCACCTAGGACACCTCTTGGAAGCCTCAGGGGAGCAGGGCTCGGGCGTACCCGACCCCACACAGTGCCCATCCTGCCGCCGGGCCCTGCGGACTTGTGCCGGGCTGTTAGTGTCGGGCTGTGGGCGGGCAGACGGCACGGTCCTGCGTGCTGTGGCCAAGTGTGTGCCTGTGTCCCGACGTGCCCGTGGGGGGGTTCGGACGGAGGGTGTGTCCCTGTTCCCGGATGGGACATTAAAACCTGGGGGCCAACGGACGCCTTCCCCGCCCCCTCATTTGCTGTGTGACTGCCGTCCACCTCTGCCCCTCTCTGAGGATAAATGGGAGAGGCATTGTGAGCCTCAGGGCCCAGCACTCCCTTGTGGGCACCTCCTCCCTCTCCTCTGTCCCTTGCCACCCCCAGTCCCCGCCTGCCCTGTCCTCCCCTGCCAGGGCCTGCACTGAGGCAAGGGTGGACATCAATCTTTCCCATCTTTGCACGGCGGAGAAAGCACAGCTTCAGTGGAGCTGCTCCAAACGCGCTTTTGGAGTTAATTTGTAGGCCCCACCTGACCCTGGGCTCTGGGCCCAGCTGTCCCTAGTGCAGCCTTGGGCTGGGCCACGGGTGGCCACCACCTCCCACCGGGGTGGTTTTGCCCTTGGTCTGCGGTGGGCCATGTCCTCTTCCCTGTGCCAGGAGTGAGATGAAGCGTTGGATGACCTCACTAGCCCCCAACAGGAGGACCAAGTTTGTTTCCTTCACGTCCCGGCTGCTGGGTAAGTCCCCGCCGAGGTGGCTTCAGGCCTCAGCTTCAGCAGCACCTCGTGGTGCTGGGGGAAGTTCCCGCCAAGCTCAGCCCCTCACCAGGAGTGCTGGCTCCCAGCGTGGCCAAGATGGGATGGTTACTGCAGAGAGTGGACACACCTGGGCCTAAAGCAACAGCTCTTAGCAGGACGCTGGGAGGAACTGGGAACCCCACCTGGAGGGTGCTTCCGGGGAACCAGCTGTCTGGAGAGCATACACAATCCCAGGGCACACGAGCCTGCTGCCACCCTTTGTCCTGAGCCCCACAGCGGTCCCAGCGCTGAGCGCCAGCGCCCTTGCCGTCAGAGCTGAGAGCAGCCTGCAGTTGGGAGTCCCCTTCCCTGCTGCCTCCCCAGCTCCCCGGGGGCTTGGAAGCCGGCCCTCCCCTCCGCGAGAGGAACCGTTTGTTGGCTACTGGGGAGCCCGTGTCCCATCCCTGGCAGCTGCTCCAAGCCGTCCTGGGCTGGCTCAGGTGTGGGTCAGGGCAGGGGACCCCATGCTGGGGACGCACCACGCCCTCCCTCTTGCCCGCAGACTGCCCCCAGGTGCAGTGCGTGCACCCGTACGTGGCCCAGCAGCCGGACGAACTGACGCTGGAGCTGGCAGACATCCTGAACATCCTGGAGAAGACAGAAGACGGTGAGGCCCCGGACTGCAGTGAGCCCCTCCGCTGCCTGGTGCCGCTGGTGGCTAAGTACCCACTGCTTCCTCTGGCGCTCAGACACCACTGTGCCGTCCCTCAGCCTGTCCGGGCAAGGCCTGGCCTCAGCCTCCTACCACAGTGCGGGAGCAGCCCTGCACCCCCCTGCAGCACGCTGACCCCAATGCCATTTGGGCGGCGAGGGCCCGGGAAGCCCCCGAACACGGACTCAGGGCCCCGGGGGGGCTAAGAAGCGCCCCATTCCCACCAGCCCTGCAGACGGGGCGTTGATGAGGGATCTAACCCCGTCCTCCTGGCGCCTTTCCACATGCACATTTCCTGGTGCACCAAATCCTCTCTCTGCCCAGCTCCTCTTCCCCAGGCCCTGGCCTCTACCTCATCCCCAAAGTCCTGGGCTCCTCCCCGCTCCCCAGGGCACACAGCCTGACACCCTCCCGGGTGACCTGTCCAGGACACGGTGTGGGCCCCCACACAGGGGACGCACCACAGGCCCAGGCCCTGGCAAAGGTCTCTGGGGCGGGAAGACGGGAAAGCAGGGAGAAGGTGGGGCACTCCAGGTGTCACCAGCTCTTGGCTGGCCTCTGCAGGGGGAGATCTGGGAGGTGCTGCCCAGCGAGAGACGGTCCTGCAGCTCAGCAGGACGATCAAGTGGCCGGCCAGCACCACCACAGCCCTCGGATGCACTGGCCTTAGGGGGGGCCCCTGGCGGCTCCTGGCCTTGGTGGGGTTACTGAGGTTTCCGTGAGGAGATGCAGAGCCCGCGGGGACCTGCGCAGCAGTACCCACAGCTCGCAGGCCTCCCCAGCTCCCAGCAATGCAGTTCCCCCAACTCTGCCCCACGCACAGACAGGAGCCTGGCTGGGTGGAGCTGACCCCCAGGCCTCAGGCCCACAGGGCGCCTGACTGCCACTCTCCCTCCCAGGGTGGATCTTCGGGGAGCGTCTGCATGACCAGGAGAGAGGCTGGTTCCCCAGCTGCACAACCGAGGAGATCCTGAACCCCAAAATCCGCTCCCAGAACCTCAAGGAGTGCTTCCGTGTGCACAAGATGGACGACCCTCAGCGCAGCCAGAATAAGGACCGGAGGAAGCTGGGCAGCCGGAATCGGCAATGACCTCCGTCTCGGGCACCAGCCTGGTGCGAGGATGTGGGCAGGGGAGCAGGCTGGTGGGGACCCTGACAGACGCAGAGGGCTCTTGGGCTCTTGGGAAGGACAGGCCAGGGCGCCGCAGGCAGCCTTGGTGGCCAGGTGCATGTCCCGCCCCTGCCCACGCAGTGAGTGCCCGCCCGAGGGTCCCAGCCCTCGCTGGCACTGATGTACAGGCTGGAAACAGTGCCTGCCTGACCATCCGCAGAGGAGGAGGGCCAGGCGGTGTTACACCACCGCCCCCCTCATCTCTTGGGGGCCTCCTCGGACTGGCGGCGGCCTAGAGCCAGGTGATCCTGGCAGGGTCAGGCGGAAAGTGACGGCTGTCGTGATCCCCCGCACTGCACGCGTCCTTCCCTACCAGGCACCCAGAGGGCCAACCTTGCCTGACAGCTTCCGGAGTGGCCCTCCGTCTCCGGCTGCCGGGAGGAGCCCGGCCACCTCCGTCCCCCTCCAGCACCTCGGCCACCCCAGCTGCACAGCTGCCCGCGCCTCGCAGGCCCAGGAGGGCTTGGCTGAGCACCCGCTCCGGCTTCTCCGCGGCCAGCATAACTTGTGTTTTCTGGCCCCTTGGGGAGCCCAGGGGTCTTACGGAATGAATTGGTCACTGCATCCTGTACAGTTACGGTTCCAAGAAAAGCAAATACCATTTCCGGCTGCATTAAAGAAGCATCACATACCGAGTCAGGGTGGCAGGTCTGTTCTTTATTGCCCTGATGTGCACAGCGGTGAGGTGCTTGGTGCTGGGCCGGGAGGGAGCCCTGGTGGGAGGGGACCCAGGGACAGCACCAAGGAGAGGCTATGTCCGGGGAAGGAGAGAGCTGGGATCAGGCCGGGGGGGAACTGTGGGGCGGCTCCACAGAGAGAGGGCCATGTGCGGGTGCTGGGGAGGCCTTCAGGCCGTGGGAAGTACAGCGGGTCCCCAGGGGATGTGACCGCGGGCCTGGGGCTGAGCGGGGCCTGCACTCTCTTGGCTTTCAGTGGCACAGCTCCTCCCAGGCCCAGCCATTGCACCCCCACAGCAGTCCCTCCGGGGAGCCCCAAACTCGGCCAGGGCTCGCTCTCTTTCACACCCAGGCCAGTCTGGGAGAAACAGCCAGGGCACCTGCAGCATCTTCCACAGCCACTGCAGGCCCCTGGCATCCTCCTGGCGTCCTCTGCACATCGTGGGTCAGCTGAGGGGGGCCCCGGCCCATGAATGAAGAGGTCCCGGCTTGGCATCCCGGGCCCCAAAAGTGGGGAGGAGCCAGGATTAGGACTGGCAGTGGCCCAGGCGCTGGGCTCAGCTCTCTGAAGCTGGCTACTCAAGGTTATGTGAAGAAATTTCAACGGCGTTTTGTAACCAAGGTTTAAGCCATGATGTGTTTGGGGGAGACTGCTACAGTGGGGGCAGTCTTAAAAAAAAAAGCAAGAAACCGGGCGTGGTAGCATATGCCTGTATCCCAGCATTAAAGAGGCTGAAGCAGGAGGATGGCAAGTTCTGTGCAATTGGGGGCTACCATAGCAAAACTCCCTTCTCCAAAAATAAAAGGGGGAAGAGGAGCGAAGACCTTTCCCCTATGCATCCTCACCCAGGAACCCTCCTGTTGCAATAAACCTTCCCCAAGGGGTTGCAGAAGTTCACAGCCGCACCTCCAGGACGGCCACCAGGAAACCCCTCCCGCCAGGCCGAAGAGCGCGGGCCAGGGCAGGTCAGCGCACCAGGGCGACCTACGGGAGGAGCAGGTGGACGGCCGGCCCCTCTTCCCTCCGCAGAAGCTCCCAGGTGCGGCGCACAGCCGCGTGGGAAAGGCGTCTCCCGCCCACCCCAGCGCAGCCCGCAGCCGGGAGAAAGGCGGCTCAACCCAACCAGGGGGTCGGGGGAGGGGACAAGAAAATCGCGTGGGCTTCGCCCCTCGCCTCATGCCATCCCTGCGTCTCCCGGGAGTACAGAGGTCCTCGGGGCGGGCCGAGTGGAGGGTCTGCGGCTCTCCGAGCAGGCAGGGTCCCTCAGAGCCAAAGGACACCCCTAAAAAGTAACCCGGTGCCGCACACAGGGCTGCGGCCCTCGCTTCCCTCCTGAGCCCTTGTCCGCACCGGGCACGAGGGTGCGCGGAGAGGCGGGGAGGACAGGATCGGCCGAGACGCAGACGGAGGAGCGAGCACGCGCACCGCGTGGGCCGCTCTCGTGCACGCGCGTTCCCCTGAGCACGTGGCCCAGCGCGCGTGCCTCGCTCCGCGAGCCCCGCCCCGCCCGCTCGCGCATGCGCGGACACAGGCGCACGAGGGTGGGTGCCGCAGAGTGGCGCGCCAGCCTGCGCGGCTCCTTTATTTGATTCACGAGGCGGAAAACTTTCGCAGCGCGACGACCACGAGCGCCAGCACCACGCAGGTGGCCAGCAGGGCAGCGATGACGATGGCCGCGATGGCGCCCGGCCCCAGCGCGCCTGCGGAGAACGGGGACGGGTCACGCCCGGCACGCCCGGCCCAGCCCG